CCCAATGGGGGGGGGGTGTGGCATTCCCAATGGGGGGGGTGGGGATGTGACATTCCCAATGTGGGGCGGGATGTGGCATTCCCAATGGGGGGGGGGGATGACATTCCCAATGTGGGGGGGGATGTGACATTCCCAATGGGGGGGGGGGGATGCCGCATTCCCAAGGTGGGGGGGGGAGGTGACATTCCCAATGGGGGGGGGGGATGTGGCATTCCCAATGTGGGGGGGGGATGTGGCATTCCCAATGGGGGGGTGGGGATGTGACATTCCCATGTGGGGCGGGATGTGACATTCCCAATGGGGGGGGGGGGGATGTGGCATTCCCAATGTGGGGGGGGGGATGTGACATTCCCAATGTGGGGGGGGGGGATGCAGCATTCCCAATGTGGGGGGGGGGATGTGACATTCCCAATGTGGGGGGATGTGACATTCCCAATGTGGGGGGGGGATGTGACATTCCCAATGTGGGGGGGGGGATGGGACATTCCCAATGGGGGGGTGGGGATGTGACATTCCCAATGTGGGGGGGGGATGTGGCATTCCCAATGTGGGGGGGTGACATTCCCAATGTGGGGGGGGGGATGCGACATTCCCAATGTGGGGGGGGGGGATGCGGCATTCCCAATGTGGGGGGGGGATGTGACATTCCCAATGGGGGGGTGGGGGATGTGGCATTCCCAATGGGGGGGTGGGGATGTGACATTCCCAATGTGGGGATGTGACATTCCCAATGGTTGGGGGGTGACATTCCGGATGTGGGGGGGGGGATGTGACATTCCCAATGTGGGGGGGGGGATGTGACATTCCCAATGTGGGGATGTGACATTCCCAATGGGTGGGGGGTGACATTCCCAATGTGGGGGGGATGTGACATTCCCAATGTGGGGGGGGGGATGTGGCATTCCCAATGTGGGGATGTGACATTCCCAATGGTTGGGGGGTGACATTCCCAATGTGGGGGGGGGATGCGGCATTCCCAATGTGGGGGGGGATGTGGCATTCCCAATGTGAGGATGTGACATTCCCAATGGTTGGGGGGTGGCATTCCCAATGGGGGGGGATGCGGCATTCCCAATGTGGGGGGGGGGGGATGCGGCATTCCCAATGTGGGGGGGTGACATTCCCAATGGGGGGGGATGCGGCATTCCCACCTTGCGGAGCTTGTCGTACTCGATGAGCTCCGGGCGGTGGCGGTGGATGAGCGCGTTGAAGGCCAGCCCGTCCTTCCAGCTGCGGCCCCACGGACCGGGGGCAATGGGGCAGTTGGGGGCAACGGGGCCTGGGGGGGGACCCTGCCCGGCCACCCCCTTCCATGGACCCCATGGATCCCACCCACCCCCTTCCATGGATCCCATCCATCCCCTTCCATGGATCCCATCCATCCCCTTCCATGCACCCCATGGATCCCACCCACCCCCTTCCATGGATCCCACCCATCCCCTTCCATGGATCCCACCCACCCCATCCCACCCATCCCCTTCCATGGATCCCATGGATCCCATCCATCCCCTTCCATGGACCCCATGGATCCCATCCATCCCCTTCCATGGACCCCATGGATCCCACCCATCCCCTTCCATGGATCCCATGGATCCCATCCATCCCCATGGATCCCACCCATCCCCATGGATCCCATCCATCCCCTTCCATGGATCCCACCCATCCCCATGGATCCCACCCATCCCCTTTCATGGATCCCATCCACCCCCTTCCATGGATCCCACCCATCCCCATGGATCCCATCCATCCCCTTCCATGGATCCCACCCATCCCCTTCCATGGATCCCAGCTCCCTTCCCCCCCCATTCCCAGTTATCCCAGGAGCTCCCCCCCCATTCCCAGTTACCCCAGGAGCTCCCCCCCCATTCCCAGTTATCCCAGCACCCCCTGTTCCCAGTTACCCCAGGAGCTCCCCCCCCTCCCAGTTACCCCAGGAGCTTCCCAGTTTCCCCAGTACCTGATATGGAAGTTCTGGACGTTGACGTTTTTGTACGGAGCCGTCTTGCGCTGGCACCAGAGCAGCAGCCCCTCCTTGGCCGAGGTCTCTGCAAGGGGCATCCCATGACCCCCCCCCCCCCATCCCATTGGATCCCCCCAGCCCCATCCCATTGGATCCCTTCCTCATCCCATTGGATCCCCCCGATTCCATTGGATCCCATTGGATCCCCCCCCATCCCATTGGATCCCCCCCCATCCCATTGGATCCCATTGGATCCCCCCCTACCCCATTGGATCCCCCGCGATTCCATTGGATTCCCACCATCCCATTGGATCCCATTGGATCCCCCCCATCCCATTGGATCCCATTGGGTCACCCCCATCCCATTGGATCCCCCCCGATCCCATTGGATCCTCCCCCCCATCCCATTGGATCCTCCCCCCCATCCCATTGGATCCCATGGGATCCCCCCCTGATCCCATTGGATATCCCCCCCCCATCCCACTAGATCCCCCCCCCCATTGGATCCCATTGGACACCCCCCCAATCCCATTGGATCCTCCCCCCCATCCCATTGGATCCCCCCCCCTTGGATCCCCCTTCCCAATCCCATTGGATCCCATTGGATCCACCACCACCACCACCCCCCGATCCCACTGGATCCCATTGGACACCCCCCCATCCCATTGGATCCCCCCCCATCCCATTGGATCCCATTGGACACCCCCCCATCCCATTGGATCCCATTGGACACACACACCCCCATCCCATTGGACCCCCCCGATCCCACTGGATCCCATTGGACACCCCCCCATCCCATTGGATCCCATTGGATGCCGGGGCCGCGCATCCGCACCCTCCACGGAGATGTCCTGGATGGCGAAGCGGAGGATGATGGTCCAGATCATCCCCAGCGTCATCTTGGCGTTGCCGTCCACGATCTCTGCGGGACGGAGCAGCCGTGGGGCAGGGCCCCACAGGGGCAGAGCCGTGGGGAGCAGCTCCGGGGCAGGAGGAGAGGAGGGAGCAGCCGTGGGGCAGGGCCCCACAGCGGCAGAGCCGTGGGGAGCAGCTCCGGGGCCGAATGGGGCAGGAGAGGAGGGAGCAGCCGTGGGGCAGGGCCCCACAGGGGCAGAGCCCTGGGGAGCAGCTCCGGGGCAGGAGGAGAGGAGGGAGCAGCCGTGGGGCAGGGCCCCACAGGGGCAGAGCCGTGGGGAGCAGCTCCGGGGCCGAATGGGGCAGGAGAGGAGGGAGCAGCCGTGGGGCAGGGCCCCACAGCGGCAGAGCCGTGGGGAGCAGCTCCGGAGCCAAATGGGGCAGGAGAGGAGGGAGCAGCCGTGGGGCAGGGCCCCACAGCGGCAGAGCCCTGGGGAGCAGCTCCGGGGCAGGAGGAGAGGAGGGAGCAGCCGTGGGGCAGGGCCCCACAGCGGCAGAGCCATGGGGAGCAGCTCCGGGGCAGGAGGAGAGGAGGGAGCAGCCGTGGGGCAGGGCCCCACAGCGGCAGAGCCATGGGGAGCAGCTCCGGAGCCGAATGGGGCAGGAGGAGAGGAGGGAGCAGCCGTGGGGCAGGGCCCCACAGCGGCAGAGCCCTGGGGAGCAGCTCCAGAGCCGAACAAGAGGGGCAGGAGGAGAGGAGGGAGCAGCCGTGGGGCAGGGCCCCACAGCGGCAGAGCCGTGGGGAGCAGCTCCGGAGCAGAACGAGAGGGGCGCTGGGAATGGGATCCGATGGGATGGGGAGGGAGGGATCCCATGGGATGAGGAAGGGATCCAATGGGGAGGAAGGGATCCGATGGGATGGGGAGGAAGGGATCCAATGGGATGGGATGGGGAGGGATCCCATGGGGAGGAAGGGATCCGATGGGATGGGATGGGGAAGGGATCCCATGGGATGGGGAGGAAGGGATCCCATGGGATGGGGAGGAAGGGATCCAATGGGATGGGGAAGGGATCCAATGGGATGGGGAGGAAGGGATCCAATGGGATGGGGAGGAAGGGATCCAATGGGAAGGGATCCGATGGGATGGGGACGGCATCCAATGGGATGAGGAAGGGATCCAATGGGATGAGGAAGGGATCCGATGGGATGGGGAGGAAGGGATCCGATGGGATGGGGAGGACGGGATCCCATGGGATGGGGAGGAAGGGATCCGATGGGGAGGAAGGGATCTGATGGGATGGGGAGGAAGGGATCCGATGGGATGGGGAGGGAGAGATCCGATGGGATGAGGAGGAAGGGATCTGATGGGATGGGGAGGAAGGGATCCAATGGGATGAGGAAGGGATCCAATGGGATGGGGAGGAAGGGATCCAATGGGATGGGGAGGAAGGGATCCAATGGGATGGGGAGGAAGGGATCCGATGGGATGAGGAGGAAGGGATCCGATGGGATGAGGAAGGGATCCAATGGGATGGGGAGGAAGGGATCCAATGGGATGGGGAGGAAGGGATCCAATGGGATGAGGAAGGGATCCAATGGGGAGGAAGGGATCCGATGGGATGGGATGGGGAGGAAGGGATCCAATGGGATGAGGAAGGGATCCAATAGGATGGGGCTGGGGGGATCCATGCAGGAGGCCGATGGGGGGGCACTCAATGGGAATGCCATGGGAATGCTGCAGGAGATGGGGGGGGGGGGGCGCTGGAGCCCCCTCATCCCATGGGAATTCCCGGAGCCTGGGGGATCCCAAGGGAGCCGGGTTGGGAAGGGATCGGATCCGGGGGGGGCAACGGCTCCACTGGGATCGTGGGGGGAGACTGCCCCCTCTATGGGGTGGGGTGGGGCCCATGGGGCGGGATGGGCCCTATGGGGCGGGATGGACCCTATGGGGTGGGATGGGATGGGCCCTATGGGGTGGGATGGGCCCTATGGGATGGGATGGACCCTATGGGGTGGGATGGGCCCTATGGGGTGGGATGGGCCCTATGGGGCAGGATGGGCCCTATGGGGTGGGACAGGGCCCATGGGGCGGGATGGACCCTATGGGGCAGGATGGACCCTATGGGATGGGATGGCCCCTATGGGGCGGGATGGCCCCTATGGGGCGGGATGGGCCCCATGGGGCAGGATGGACCCTATGGGGCAGGATGGACCCTATGGGGTGGGACAGGGCCTATGGGGCAGGATGGGCCCTATGGGGTGGGATGGACCCTATGGGGTGGGACAGGGCCTATGGGGCAGGATGGGCCCCATGGGATGGGACAGGGCCTATGGGGCGGGATGGGCCCTATGGGATGGGATGGACCCTATGGGGCAGGATGGCCCCTATGGGGTGGGACAGGGCCTATGGGGCGGGATGGGAACCATGGGGCAGGATGGGCCCCATGGGGCAGGATAGACCCTATGGGGTGCGATGGACCCTATGGGATGGGATGGACCCTATGGGGTGGGATGGGTCCCATGGGATGGGATGGACCCTATGGGGCGGGATGGCCCCTATGGGATGGGATGGGTCCCATGGGATGGGATGGACCCTATGGGGCGGGATGGGCCCCACGGAGGCTGGAGCTGGGCAAGGTCCAGGGCCCTCCCCATGAGTCACTGTGGGTGCGCCCTGAGTCAGCGTTGACATTGGGCACCTTCCAAGCAGCACCCATGGGTGGGGGGGGCACCCATGGCTCGAGGGAGCACCCATGGGTGGGGATACCCATGGGGGGGGGGGGGGCACCCATGGGTGGGGATACCCATGGGGGGGGGGCACCCATGGGTGGGGGGGCACCCCCAAAGCAGGGTTCCCTCATAGGTGGGGGTGCTGGGGGGGGCACCCATGGGGGGGGGGGCACCCATGGCTGGAGGGAGCACCCATGGGTGGGGATACCCATGGGGGGGGGCACACATGGGCACACATGGGTGGGGGGGGCACCCATGGGTGGGGGTCCCTCATAGGGGGGTATTGGGGGGCACCCATGGGTGGGGGTCCCCATTGGGGGGTAAGTGTGTGTGTGTGGGGCACCCATGGGTGGGGGGTGCACCCATGTGTGTGTTGTGGGGCACCCATGTGTGGGGGGCACCCATGTGTGGGGTGTGTGGGGCACCCAGGTGTGTGTGTGTGGGGCACCCATGGGTGGGGTGTGTGGGGCACCCATGTGTGTGTTGTGGGGCACCTATGTGTGGGGTGTGGTGTGGGGCAGTCGTGTGTGTGTGAGGGGTGCCCATGTGTGGGGCGCTGTGTCGGGCAGCTATGTGTGTGTGTGTGTGTGTGTCACGGTGTGGGGCGGTGTGGGGCAGCCATGTGTGTGTGTGTGTGTGTGTGTGTGTGTGTGTGTGTGTGTGTCACGGTGTGGGGCAGCCATGTGTGTGTGTGTGGGGCAGTGTGGGGCACGGTGCGTGTCGTGGTGTGGGGCAGGCATGTGCGTGTTGGGGGGGTGGTGTGGGGTGGCATGGGGCAGCCATGTGTGTGTGGGGGGTGGTGTGGGGCAGGCATGTGTGTGTGTGTCACAGTGTGGGGCAGCAGTGTGTGTGTGTGTGGGGCGGCGTGGGGCTTGGCGTGGGGTGGTGTGGGGCGGCATGGGGCAGCCATGTGTGTGTGTGTCGCGGTGTGGGGCAGGCATGTGTGTGTGGGGGGTGGCATGGGGCAGCCATGTGTGTGTGTGTCGCGGTGTGGGGCAGGCATGTGTGTGTGTGTCACAGTGTGGGGCAGCAGTGTGTGTGTGTGTGGGGCGGCGTGGGGCTTGGCGTGGGGTGGTGTGGGGCGGCATGGGGCAGGCACATGTGGGGCACGCACGTGTGGGGCTCGGTGTGGGGCAGGCACGTGTGGGGCACGGTGAGGGGCGGCGTGGGTCAGTATGGGGCAGGCACATGTGGGGCGGCGTGGGGCAGGCACATGTGGGGCTCGCGTGGGGCAGGCATGCGTGGGGCTGGGTGTGGGGCTCGGCGTGGGGCTGGGTGTGGGGCAGGCACGCGTGGGGTGGTGTGGGGCAGGGTGTGGGGCTGGGTGTGGGGCAGGCACATGTGGGGCTCGGTGTGGGGCTGGGTGTGGGGCTGGGTGTGGGGCAGGGTGTGGGGCAGGCACATGTGGGGCTGGGTGTGGGGCAGGCACATGTGGGGTGGTGTGGGGCTGGGTGTGGAGCAGTGTGGGGCAGGCACACGTGGGGCAGGGTGTGGGGCAGGGCCTGGGGCAGGCACGCGTGGGGTGGTGTGGGGCTTGGCGTGGGGCTTGGTGTGGGGTGGTGTGGGGCAGGCACATGTGGGGCTGGGTGTGGGGCTCGGCGTGGGGCAGGGCGTGGGGCAGGCACACGTGGGGTGGTGTGGGGCTCAGTGTGGGGCAGTGTGGGGCAGGCACATGTGGGGCAGGGTGTGGGGCAGTGTGGGGCTGGGTGTGGGGCAGTGTGGGGCAGTGTGGGGCTGGGTGTGGGGCAGTGTGGGGCTGGGTGTGGGGCAGTGTGGGGCTGGGTGTGGGGCAGTGTGGGGCAGGCACGTGTGGGGCAGGCACGTGTGGGGCAGGGTGTGGGGCTGGGTGTGGGGCAGTGTGGGGCAGGCACGTGTGGGGCAGGCACATGTGGGGCTCAGTGTGGGGCTGGGTGTGGGGCAGGGCGTGGGGCGGTGTGGGGCAGGCACGTGTGGGGCAGGGCACGTGTGGGGCTGGGTGTGGGGCTGGGTGTGGGGCAGGCATGCGTGGGGCTCAGTGTGGGGCGGTGTGGGGTGGTGTGGGGCAGGCATGTGTGGGGCGGTGTGGGGCTCAGTGTGGGGCGGTGTGGGGCAGTGTGGGGCAGGCACGTGTGGGGCAGGGTGTGGGGCAGGCACGTGTGGGGCAGGCAGGTGTGGGGCAGGCACCTTCTGCGCCGATGGAGACGAGCCTGACGGCCTTGCTGGCGATGAAGTCCAGCGCCTTGTTGACGTTGTTGATGCGGTGAACCCGCATCTTCCCCCGCTCCGGCCGAGGCAGGCGCTCGCCTGAGGGGGAGGGAGGGAGGCTGGGAACGGGGGGAGGGGCGGGACGGTGGGGGAGGGGATGAGCAGTGGGGATGTGGGGCTGGGATGGGGATGGGGGGCTGGGATGGGGATGTGGGGCTGGGATGGGGATGGGGATGTGGGGCTGGGATGGGGACACAGGGATGGGGATGGGGATGTGGGGCTGGGGTCGGGATGTGGGTCCAGGATGGGGATGTGGGGCTGGGATGGGGATGCAGGGATGGGGATGTGGGGCTGGGATGGGGATGCAGTGATGGGGATGTGGGGCTGGGATGGGGATGCAGGGATGGGGATGTGGGGCTGGCATGGGGATGCAGGGATGGGGATGGGGATGCGGGGCTGGGATGGGGATGCAGGGATGGGGTTGGGACGCTGGGATGGGGATGCAGGGATGGGGTCGGGACACAGGGATGGGGATGGGGATGTGGGGCTGGGGTCGGGATGTGGGTCCAGGATGGGGATGTGGGGCTGGGATGGGGATGCAGGGATGGGGTCGGGACACAGGGATGGGGATGGGGATGTGGGGCTGGGGTCAGGATGTGGGTCCAGGATGGGGATGTGGGGCTGGGATGGGGATGCAGGGATGGGGTCGGGACACAGGGATGGGGATGCAGGGATGGGGATGGGGATGCGGGGCTGGGATGGGGATGCAGGGATGGGGATGTGGGGCTGGGGTCAGGATGTGGGTCCAGGATGGGGATGTGGGTCTGGGATGGGGATGTGGGGCTGGGATGGGGATGCAGGGATGGGGATGGGGATGTGGGGCTGGGGTCAGGATGTGGGTCCGGGACGGGGATGTGGGGCTGGGATGGGGATGCAGGGATGGGGCCATGGGTCCAGGATGGGGCTGTGGGTCTGGGATGGGGATGTGGGGCTGGGGTCAGGATGTGGGTCCAGGATGGGGATGTGGGGCTGGGATGGGGATGCAGGGATGGGGATGTGGGGCTGGGGTCGGGATGTGGGTCCAGGATGGGGATGTGGGGCTGGGATGGGGATGTGGGGCTGGGGTCAGGATGTGGGTCCAGGATGGGGATGTGGGGCTGGCATGGGGATGCAGGGATGGGGATGGGGATGTGGGGCTGGGATGGGGATGCAGGGATGGGGATGTGGGGCTGGGGTCAGGATGTGGGTCCAGGATGGGGATGTGGGGCTGGGATGGGGATGCAGGGATGGGGTCGGGACACAGGGATGGGGATGGGGATGTGGGGCTGGGATGGGGATGCAGGGATGGGGATGGGACACAGGGATGGGAATGCAGGGATGGGGATGTGGGGCTGGGGTCAGGATGTGGGTCCAGGTTGGGGATGTGGGGCTGGCATGGGGATGCAGGGATGGGGTTGGAACACAGGGATGGGAATGCAGGGATGGGGATGGGGATGTGGGGCTGGGGTCGGGATGTGGGTCCAGGATGGGGATGTGGGGCTGGGATGGGGATGGGGATGTGGGGCTGGGATGGGGACACAGGGATGGGGATGGGGATGGGGATGTGGGGCTGGGGTCGGGATGTGGGTCCAGGATGGGGATGTGGGGCTGGAATGGGGATGCAGGGATGGGGTTGGGACGCTGGGATGGGGATGCAGGGATGGGGATGTGGGGCTGGGGTCAGGCTGTGGGTCTGGGATGGGGATGTGGGTCTGGGATGGGGATGTGGGTCTGGGATGGGGATGTGGGTCTGGGATGGGGATGTGGGTCTGGGGTCAGGATGTGGGCCTGGGATAGGGATGTGGGTCCGGGATGGGGATGTGGGGCTGGGATGGGGATGGGATGGGGATGTGGGTCCGGAGTCAGGATGTGGGTCTGGGGTGGGTCCGGGGTGGGGCTGTGGGGCTGGGTTCAGGCTGTGGGTCCGGGGTGGGTCTGGGGTCAGGATGTGGGTCCAGGATGGGGCTGTGGGTCCGGGGTGGGGCTGTGGGGCTGGGATGGGGATGTGGGTCTGGGGTGGGGCTGTGGGTCAGGATGTGGGTCCGGGGTAGGGATGTGGGGCGGGGGTGGAGCTGGGGTCAGGCTGTGGGGCTGGGGTGGGGCTGTGGGTCAGGCTGTGGGTCTGGGATGGGGCTGTGGGTCAGGATGTGGGTCAGGATGTGGGGCTGGGTTCAGGCTGTGGGTCCGGGGTAGGGATGTGGGTCAGGCTGTGGGTCTGGGATGGGGCTGTGGGTCAGGCTGTGGGTCAGGATGTGGGGCTGGGTTCAGGCTGTGGGTCCGGGGTAGGGATGTGGGTCAGGCTGTGGGTCTGGGATGGGGCTGTGGGTCAGGCTGTGGGTCAGGATGTGGGGCTGGGTTCAGGCTGTGGGTCCGGGGTAGGGATGTGGGTCAGGCTGTGGGTCCGGGATGTGGGGCTGGGGTGGGGCTGTGGGTCAGGATGTGGGTCCAGGATGGGGCTGTAGGTCTGGGATGGGGATGTGGGTCAGGCTGTGGGTCAGGATGTGGGGCTGGGTTCAGGATGTGGGTCCAGGATGGGGCTGTAGGTCTGGGATGGGGATGTGGGGCTGGGTTCAGGATGTGGGGCTGGGGTGGGGCTGGGGTCAGGCTGTGGGTCCGGGGTGGGGCTGTGGGTCAGGATGTGGGTCCGGGGTAGGGATGTGGGTCAGGCTGTGGGTCCGGGATGTGGGGCAGGGTTCGGGGTGGGGCTGTGGGTCCGGCGCGGCGCTGACCCGAGATGACCTCCAGCAGCAGCATGAGCTTGAGCCCGTCCCGGAAGTCCTCGTCGATGTTCTCGATGTGGGTCCCGGCTTTCCGGAGGTGGGAATTGCACCAGGCCGTGAAGGTCTGCGGGGACACCCGGAGCCATCCGGAGCCATTGGGATCCATTGAGATCCATTGGGATCCACCCGGAGCCATCGGGACCCAACCGGAGGCATCGGGACCCAACCGGAGCCCATTGGGATCCATTGAGATCCATCGGGATCCACCCGGAGACACCCAGAGCCATTGGAATCCATTGGGATCCATCCGGAGCCCATTGGGATCCATTGAGATCCATCAGGATCCACCCAGAGCCCATCAGGACCCAACCAGAGCCATCGGGAGCCATTGAGATCCATCGGGATCCAACCAGAACCATTGGGATCCAACCGGAGCCATCGGGATCCAACCGGACCCACCCGGAGCCATCGGGAGCCAACCGGAGCCCATCGGGATCCATTGGGATCCATCCAGAGCCATCGGGACCCAACCGGAGCTATTGGGAGCCATTGGGATCCATCGGGATCCAACCAGAGCCATCAGGAGCCATCCAGAGCCCATTGGGACCCAACCGGAGCCATCGGGACCCAACCGGAGCCATTGGGATCCACCCGGAGCCATCGGGAGCCATCCAGAGCCCATTGGGATCCATTGAGATCCATCGGGATCCACCCGGAGCCATCCGGAGCCCATTGGGATCCATTGAGATCCATCAGGATCCACCCAGAGCCCATCGGGACCCAACCGGAGCCATCAGGACCCAACCAGAGCCCATTGGGATCCATTGGGATCCACCCGGAGCCATCGGGAGCCATTGAGATCCATCGGGAGCCATTGAGATCCATCGGGAGCCCATTGGGATCCATTGAGATCCATCAGGATCCACCCAGAGCCCATCGGGACCCAACCAGAGCCATCGGGAGCCATTGAGATCCATCGGGATCCAACCGGAACCATTGGGATCCAACCGGAGCCATCGGGATCCAACCAGACCCACCCGGAGCCATCGGGAGCCATTGGGATCCATTGAGATCCATCGGGATCCACCCGGAGCCATCGGGACCCAACCGGAGCCCATCGGGATCCATTGGGATCCATCCAGAGCCATTGGGACCCAACCGGAGCTATTGGGAGCCATTGGGATCCATCGGGATCCAACCAGAGCCATCAGGAGCCATCCAGAGCCCATTGGGACCCAACCGGAGCCATCGGGATCCAACCAGAGCCCATCGGGATCAATTGGGATCCACCCGGAGCCATCGGGATCCAACCAGAGCCCATCGGGATCCATTGAGATCCATTGGGATCCACCCAGAGCCCATTGGGATCCATCGGGATGCGCCCAGAGCCCATCGGGATCCATCAGGATCCACCCAGATCCATCGGGATCCAGCCAGAGCCATCAGGATCCACCCAGAGCCCATTGGGATCCATCGGGATCTACTCGGAGCCCATCGGGATCCAACCGGAGCCACTGGGATCCATCGGGATCCGCCCAGAGGCCATCGGGATCTACTGGGATCCACTTGGAGCCATCGGGATCCACCCAGAGCCCATTGGGATTTATCGGGACCTGCCCAGAGCCATCAGGATCCAACCGGAGCCCATCGGGAGGCACCCAGATCCATCGGGATCCATCCAGAGCCATCGGGATCAATTGGGAGGCACCCGGAGGGATCGGGATCCACTGGGATCCACCAGGAGCCCATTGGGATTCATCGGGATTGGCCTGGAGCCATAGGGATCAATCGGGATCCACCCAGAGCCCATTGGGATCCATCGGGATCCACCCGGAGCCCATTGGGATCCACTGGGATCCACCCGGAGCCATCGGGATGGACCCGGATCCCATTGGGATGCACCCGGATGCACCCGGAGCCGATCGGATCCACCATGACCCCCACTGACCCCCATGGCCATGACCCCATTGGCCACCCCTGACCCCCACGGCCATGACGTCATTGGCCACCCCTGACCCCCATTGGCCGCAGGCCCCCCCCTCCTCCCGGAGGCCCCCCCCGCCCCCTCAGCACCCGCACCCCTCCCCCAACGCCCCATTCCCAAGGGAATTCCGGGCTGAATCCCGGCCCTTCCCCCCCCTCCCCCCCCCCGGGGTTTTCCTGCTCTTTGGAATTCCCGAAATTCCAGCCCTGCCTCGGGAATTCCCGCCCCTTGTGGCCAATGGGGGGGAAGAGGAGGGCTCGCCCCGCCCCGCCCCGCCCAGCAGCCAATGGGAACGAGGCGAGGCGGGACCGGAGCGGGGAGGAACGGCCCCATTCCATAGGGAACTGCCCCACATTCCATAGGGAACTGCCCCACATTCCATAGGGATCTGCCCCACATTCCATAGGGATCTGCCCCACATTCCATAGGGATCTGCCCCACATTCCATAGGGAACTGCCCCACATTCCATAGGGATCTGCCCCATTCCATAGGGAACGGCCCCACATTCCATAGGGATCTGCCCCACATTCCATAGGGATCTGCCCCACATTCCATAGGGATCTGCCCCATTCCATAGGGAACTGCCCCATTCCATAGGGATCTGCCCCACATTCCATAGGGATCTGCCCCACATCTGCCCCACATTCCATAGGGATCTGCCCCATTCCATAGGGAACGGCCCCACATTCCATAGGGATCTGCCCCACATTCCTTAGGGATCTGCCCCATTCCATAGGGATCTGCCCCATTCCATAGGGAACGGCCCCACATTCCATAGGGATCTGCCCCATTCCATAGGGATCTGCCCCACATTCCATAGGGATCTGCCCCACATTCCATAGGGATCTGCCCCACATTCCATAGGGAACTGCCCCACATTCCATAGGGATCTGCCCCATTCCATAGGGATCTGCCCCACATTCCATAGGGATCTGCCCCACATTCCATAGGGATCTGCCCCCCCCATTCCTTACGGATCTGCCCCCCATTCCTTAGGGAACTGCCCCATTCCTTAGGGATCTCCCCCCCATTCCATAGGGATCTGCCCCCATTCCATAGGGATCTGCCCCATTCCTTAGGGATCTGCCCCCCATTCCATAGGGATCTGCCCCATTCCATAGGGATCTGCCCCATTCCATAGGGATCTGCCCCATTCCTTAGGGATCTGCCCCCCAACCTCTCCTTCCGGAGCCCCTTTCCCATGCAGGACCCACAGGAAACATTCCAGGAACGTGGAAAACCGGATCCGTTCCCCCCCCCCCCCCGCATTCCCGAGGGAATTCTCCTCAGTCCTTGCCCTTCCTGGGCCGGAAGGGAGGAATTCCCGGCTCCTGGAACGGGATCCGGGAGCTCAGCCCATCGCCGCTATGGGGCCGGGGGGGCACCGCCACCTCCGCCCCCCATGGGAAGCCCCTTCGCATCCCGTCCCTTTTCCAGCCCCCTGGAATGCCGAGGGATGCTCCAGAGCTGGGAATGACACAGGGATAACGGGAATGATGGATGGATAACGGGAATGATGGGTGGGGAACGGGAATGACACAGGGATAACGGGAATGATGGATGGATAACGGGAATGACACAGGGATAACGGGAATGATGGGTGGGGAACGGGAATGATGGGTGGGGAACGGGAATGATGGGTGGGGAACGGGAATGACACAGGGATAACGGGAATGATGGGTGGGGAATGGGAATGACGGATGGGGAATGGGAATGACACAGGGATAACGGGAATGATGGATGGAGAATGGGAATGATGGGTGGGGAATGGGAATGACACAGGGATAACGGGAATGACGGGTGGGGAACGGGAATGATGGATAGAGAATGGGAATGATGGATGGAGAACGGGAATGACACAGGGATAACGGGAATGATGGGTGGATAACGGGAATGACGGATGGGGAACGGGAATGATGGATGGATAACGGGAATGATGGATGGGGAATGGGAATAACACAGGGATAACGAGAATGATGGGTGGAGAATGGGAATGATGGATGGAGAACGGGAATGATGGATGGGGAATGGGAATGACAGAGGGATAACGGGAATGACGGATGGGGAACGGGAATGATGGATGGGGAACGGGAATGATGGGTGGTGAATGGGAATGACACAGGGATAACGGGAATGACGGATGGATAACGGGAATGATGGATGGGGAACGGGAATGATGGATGGGGAATGGGAATGACACAGGGATAACGGGAATGACGGATGGATAACGGGAATGATGGATGGGGAACGGGAATGATGGATGGGGAACGGGAATGATGGATGGATAACGGGAATGATGGATGGGGAATGGGAATGATGGATGGGGAACGGGAATGATGGATGGATAACGGGAATGATGGATGGATAATGGGAATGATGGATGGGGAACGGGAATGATGGATGGAGAACGGGAATGACGGATGGGGAACGGGAATGATGGATGGGGAACGGGAATGATGGATGGGGAACGGGAATGACGGATGGGGAACAGGAATGATGGATGAATAATGGGAATGATGGATGGGGAACGGGAATGATGGATGGGGAACGGGAATGACGGGTGGGGAATGGGAATGATGGATGGAGAATGGGAATGATGGGTGGAGAATGGGAATGATGGATGGGGAACGGGAATGATGGATGGGGAATGGGAATGATGGATGGGGAACGGGAATGATGGGTGGGGAATGGGAATGACACAGGGATAACGGGAATGACGGATGGATAACGGGAATGATGGATGGGGAACGGGAATGATGGATGGGGAATGGGAATGACACAGGGATAACGAGAATGATGGATGGATAACGGGAATGATGGGTGGGGAACAGGAATGATGGATGGGGAACGGGAATGATGGATGGGGAACGGGAATGATGGATGGGGAACGGGAATGATGGATGGGGAACGGGAATGACGGATGGGGAACGGGAATGACGGATGGGGAACGGGAATGACGGATGGGGAACGGGAATGACGGATGGGGAACGGGAATGATGGATGGGGAACGGGAATGATGGATGGGGAACGGGAATGATGGATGGATAACGGGAATGATGGAGAATGGGAATGATGGGTGGACACTGGGAATGACGCCTGGGCATCGGGAAGGGGTCGGCAGCTCCGGCTGCCCCCGGCC